AATCAAAATGTTACTAGAGTTGTCAGACATTATTTTACTGTGTTATTTCTCTGAAGTCAGAATTGTTGTTGCAAGAAAGTTACACCTATAAGATAGCTTTTATCCCAAAGAGAAGGAACTATGTCCTGCAAACATGAAAAAGTCCTATCCTATTAGCAGTACCTCGGCAACCATCAAGACTATCCAAGTATTAAAGCCAATAGGTGTGACAGTGTTACTGATCTGAGGATTACATTGTTGAAGCTGACCAAAGCTTTAAAAACCTTAAGAATTTTTAAAAATCCTAAACCATTGAATTATTTCAATATAGAGGATTTCCCCACATTTTCTTTCAGCAAATAGGTACTGCATGGAAGGCAGCAGTACTATGTAGACTTCTAAGAAATCTCCCCCACCTTAACTTAAGTGATGGGGTTTAGCAAAGATCTGTATCCTTATGTTTCTCTAATATTACTCTTTGTTCACTCAGTCTGGTATTTTTATCTATTCCCCTGAAGATTGGAATCCTTATATACATAAGTTTTCCCTGGGCTACTACTAATAACAACAAAAGTGTTATTATTACTTTATCACATGTGAGTGCACTAGTATTAATTCTGATCTGATTTATATTAAATACTTACAGTCAATTAGAGATACAGTAAATCAATTATAGATATGCATTATAAGTAGGCACTATAATTGAAATGAAGATATAAATATGTTTGGAACTCTTTCAAATTTCTTCACCCCTTTACTTTTCTTAATTGTACCTCTGTATGTGAGGTTTGCATTGAGTTTATAAGATTTATAGCAAACACATCCATCACAAATTGCTGTATGAATGGACAGCTTTACATTTCACAAATATTAAGACAGCATTTGGGAACTAAAACAGTAATGAAATAGTCTTACTGAGATTCAGAGAAAGGGAGAGAAAGGAAAAAGGTTATTTGGGGCTTTAAACACAATCTTGGCTGGCAGCTTCATTCTAGTACACTGAAACTCTTGTTTAGATACTTTGTCCATATTGTACTTGACAGGTGACTCCAGTAAGAACACAAGTGCATCACAATTTACTGGTCCTTGTCTTTGGAGGTTCAAAACACTATATCAGAATTAGAGACTGTCACAGGGAATTTCTTCATATACTACTGTTTATAAATATCATCTAAGGATGTATATGTGTGGGATGACATTCTGGTTGACTGAAAATCAGGTAGCTTACATATTTTGTAAACTAAACAAATGGAAAAAAATGAGTATCTGAATAAATAGAAGTAAATATTCCAATAATATTTTAATGATCAGATTAGTACTGTGTATACTGATAATTTCTGCAGAAACTGAAACAGGTACCTACCAACAGATTCTCAGAAGGAACCATACATTATTAATTCTGCTAAGGCTAGGATGTAATTGGGCTGTACATTTACATCCTGAAACTGGGATGTAATTGGCCCCTCCCTCATTTCAACTACTTACAGCTTAGCCTAGAGAAAAAGGATGAAATCTGATTTTTAATGGATTTTTCTTCAGGCAAATTGCACTCTTATCATGCATTTTCCTTCTACTTACTGTCCAATACCCCTCCCTCCCTGGTCTGGAATATTATAACCTGACTCAGTCTAATGCTTAGCATTCTCATTTCAAATTTATTACACTGAGAGATAGGAGTGCTCCATATTTTCTAGGACCTGACCTAAATTGATTTCTTGTGTTAGAGAAATAGATGCAAAGAATTTTTTAACTGGAACAGTTTTTTTTCTTTTCAGAAAAAAAATGTCATGTCATTAATCCTATTCAAATTCATAAGACTGTGAAGAAAGGATATAGAATAAAAATTCCATTTTCAAAAAGCAATGCTGTTTCTTTTGTGTGAGTAAAATGTTCAACTCAATACTAAGGAATTCTGAGTGATGATGTAGGGCTCCTCCTGCTCACCCCAGCATAAGGAGGAGCCACTAATTATTTCTTTGGGAAAGGAACACACAACATCATCTTCAACCCATCCCCAGCCTACTATGGAGACATATTTTCTTGCTCTGTGTCTAAAGCAGTGTTTTCTCAATACTGCCAGCATGAACCATGCAAAGCGGCCTGTCTGCTCTACTTCATTTCATTTCCTCATGATACTTATTAATTTGGGATATTGGGGAGTTGGGGTGAAATTGAGAAGAGTTCTACAAGGGACTGAAAGAACAGTGAAAACAAAGCAGTGCCTTTTTCCCCAATAGTGAGCCACCACTGGGCTGAAATTGACAAGAGTTTTCCAGTTTCCCCTTCTAGCTCAGGTGATAGCAAGAATGGTAAAAGAGTGGTGTTTCCCACTACCCAGTGCACTGAAGAAATGTTCAACATGAGCAAGCAATTCCTGCTTTAAGCCATGAGTTGGACAATATGACCTCTAAGGTCTCTTCCAGCTCTATTATTCTATGACTGCTGGATGTTTGTTCATGCAAAGAGAAACCATGTGTCCTCAAAACCAACCCTTTCCAGAAAGGAAAGTGATTGGTGCTTGCTTTCCAGGCATGAGTGGGAAGGAAAAAGAAGCAGGGCAATCTACTAATTAGGGCATGATAACTGCCATCCAGGTAGAATACCTGGTCAGCCAAAGTTTGAAATCCAGATGGCAATTTCTTAAGCTGGCTTAATTTCCAGACAATATCACAGGAGTCAAGCAGCTAAAGGCTGCCAAGTGGACTTGCCCTTAGCTGAAACAGTGAATTCTGGTTTTACCATTCATTTTACTGGAACAAAAATCTCTTTCCATATTTCTTACATATTTTATCTTCCATGTCAGAGTAAGGATTGCTGAAGTTCCCAAAGGTTGTCATACTGTCAAATGGAGAATGCAGGCATTCACATATGCATGAATGAAAGCTGTATCTGAAAACAAATTCTTTGTGTCTTGTGACATTGTCATGAAAAGTAATGAACTTGAATATGGTAAGGCAACCTTGTACAGCTATCACAGTACACAATAACAAAATCTTTACAAGGTACATGGTGCAAAATTTAAGATGAGTTTCTTAAATTAATTTTCTTGGATTTTACAGCACAAGTGTAAATTGTAAAATATTTAAATCTAATTTTAAAACCATTTTTTTCAAATTATTGAAATTATAGCCCCTGAATAACAAATAGTAGTGAAGATTCTAATTTCCTAATCAGCCTGAAATATTCTATAATTAACTTTCCTACTTCCTAATTTTCCTGCTCCTGAACATTCAATTATAAGACCAGGTTATATTAGTATCTAAATGGATTGAAATGCATAGCCTCATCATAACTTGTACTAACATCCCAAATTCAGATTGTCTATATGAGGGTTCTAGTACCCTATGAAAGGTGGCACATAGGCAGGGCATTTGTTGTTATTTGATTATTTTTAACTATTTGTATTTTTCCCCTGTATAGGCTTGTTGTTAACCATTCAGAGTCATTGTGATTCAAAAGGTATACAGGCTGAAGTAATACATAAATAAAATAACGTTTTAATGATACAAATGCCAATAGTGATCTACATCTAGCAACAGAGTTGTTCAGTTCAAGCTTTTATGATATTTTTTTACAAAATAACTCTACAAGAAGATGTTTGCCTACTAATCTCTTCCTATTATACATTTCGTAGGAAGCATAAATCTCACAAAAAACTTGCAATGCACCATTATTAGTACTTCAGTTTTACATACACACACACACACACACACACACACACACACAGAGTATTTCATTGAAAGTTCAGCCCACGGAATCAAAGGGTGATTTATTGCACAATGTCTTTTTAATTAACCCTTGGCTGGATTTATGTTTGAGGTCTGACTATTTTCCCAGCTGAACTCATATAACAGTTATACATTGGGGTTTTTTTTACTAATCAGACCTGCAATTTTCAGAACAGTTAAAAATAATTTGAAAGAAAAGAAAGATCCCCTAGAGTCTGTATAAGCACCATCTACAATTCCAGCTTACCTTGCCAAAGAATTTATGGGCCCCTAAAAGACTTGTTTCAAAAAATACTGTAAACAAAACAAAACAGGCAAATCCCCAAATGCAAGCTGGAATTTCTTGATATGTATAAATGCTATTATAAGTATTACATTTGATAAGATTCAAACATTGTTGAATGGTTTTTGAAAGAATGAACTAAATACATGTTGAAAGCACTTGATGTTTGAAATATAATATAAACTATGTAAACAATGTATCTGCTTATGACAATGGCTACTGTTATTGCTAATACACATATATTAGTTATACAACTCACAGAGAAAGTTAATCCTACTAGTAGAGTTAATTGGGATAATTATGCATTTTATCTTCCAATTAGAAGGGTACAGCCCATTTATCTATAAAATTCATCACCAGCTCCTTGTATTTCAAGTTTCATTTTTTAAAAAACTCTACTAGTAGAATGTAATATGAAATTAAGGTGTTCACTTGGACAGCAAGTTCTGTTGGCTTTGGACAGTGAAGAGCAAGAACCGATCATACCATCAAGTGCTTCCACACTGTAATGAGCAACTATTAAAAATACTGTTGAAACTTTCATACTTCAAATTTTGTTTTCTTAAAAAATGGCAACATATGCTTCTTTCAGAATGGAGTCTTATTTTTTCTTGCTGATTTGGGACAATTTGTTGGGCTTTCTATTTTTATCCACTTGAAAAGTAATACCTGTACAATAGTCATATATATA